AAAATATGTCAAGACGACGAGTTATCATTGATCACTAATTAAAATATAACACATATTGTCACGAATTTTCTGTACACGTAAATAAGTTCGGTGAAAATATATGTAAATTGTAGTATCTCTTGTATAATGTAACACGAAAAGCCCCCGAAGGCGAAGCATCCCGCGAAAAATAGGGTTACAGGGGTAAGTCCATCTAACATTGAGTAAATGGCTGCTAAGCTGCTGATGTTTTTGGCAACTGATTTTTGTCGCCAAATTTGATGAGAAATAGAAAAACGTCCCTAAACTTGGCGATCATTTGGCGACATTTTTGTCTCATCCCTGCGTAGCTGTAATTTTATCGGGCCCTATGTAACTGCAGCTGTGTATGCCTTCCACTAATTTCGATAAATCGAAGGTTCTAGAAATTCCTCTGCGGACAGAGGAAAACTATATAAAACCGGAGCGGCATAAATTTTTCAGTTGAGTTCAGAGCTTTGGGAGACCTCCGTATGAGCTTCACTTTTAGATGCAGTTTGCATCGCGTTGGGTTCAATATTCTTAGTAATTTGATATGGTAAATACTGATTTTTCCCTATCATACTGAGAAGAGTACCAGGACTTTTGTGTGAAAAGTTCTAAAATTGTAAAGTGAAATTAAGGTCCTTTTTTTGAAAAATAAATTTTATCAGGCTATCATCAGATCTGTGTGCATTCAAACCATTACGAACCCATACGCATGCAATAGTTTTGCGTGTCAGAAGTGGGACTGAATGCCGGTGACAATAGCGACGGGTTGCAACTAAGATATCCCAAGAAAAGATGAAAGCAGGCCAAGAAAGATTGAAGAAGCCATCAAGTCCGTTAAAAAACTGGAAGCAGGCCAAGAAAAGATGGAAGGGACCATCGAGTCCGTGAAAGAAGAAATGAAAGCGGGTCGATTGAAGTAATCAAGAGGAAATGAAAAGAGAATTTACTGCCGTAATGGAAAATAAATTCGAAGCTATTGAAGTCAGAGTAGACACAGTTGAAAATAAAATTGCAGAAATCGAAAAAGGAGTTTCTGTTATCGAACAACAAATCGAAGAACTGCAGTTTTACGATACTGTTTCTGCTGTCGAACAACAAATCGATGACAGAGTTTCTTCTGTCGCCAAAGAAGATGACTGCTTGAAGAAATTCATAGTGACAGCTAGAAATAAGTCTAATGTCTTTAAATTCCTACATATGTCTTCTCGACCTTTTCTAAAGCTATCCACGCACGATGAAAAGACCGCCGGGTAAGAGGAACAGACACAGTTCTCTATGGTAGCGGGCTCAAATGAGTAGGATTAACCAGAGGCTAGACTTCGAAGCTGTACCCGGTGCGTTGGAGTTTGCTTTGGCAAGAAGTGCTTAAAAGACTATAGCAGACTTCAGTTAAAATCTTGCAAAACAGACCCACAAAAACTATCCAGGAGCTCGCCAACGATCTTGAAAGGCTATCTTATCTCGCCTTTTCGGACTGCTCAACCAAGACAAGGGAAATCCTGTCTCTGCAGTACTTCGTCGATGGCATCCGTGATACTGAGATACAGAAAGCCCTGCTAATGGCGGATGTCAAGTATGCTAATGGCGGATATCAGCGCTTTAGTACACGCCATAAAATTCAAGGCAGCCTAACAAGCAACCCGTAGAAACCGCCCTACAGTCAAAGCTGCCTCGTGCCCGGGAACCAGTGGATTAAGTGACTGCTTGCCAAAATGATTTAACCAAGCACGTTACTGCCTTGGGGCGTAATATGAACGGCAACAAATCCATCCTAAAGCGCTGAAACTGCGGTGGGGAAAACCACATACGAAGCAACTACAGAAACGCCTAAGAAATGGGAGCTAAGACAACTTCCAGCAAGAAGGAGGGGAACTAATTAGGTGGCCATCTCGCAGGGCAGAGGTTGACAAATATTGAGAAGCCCCATTTTAAAGGCTATGAGTGGCGGCAGTCATGGACTTTCCATCATGGGGCATATAAATGGAGTTCCTTGCAGTATGACCATCCATACAGGAACAAATATTACCCGAAACGATCTGGCTTATCTAGTGAAAGGTAAAGTCTACCGGATGCCGTTCTGCTTCTCCAGACTGTGTCCGGTGATAAAGTCAACATCAATGGAACATTAAACATTAATATCCCATTTTGGAGTACCGCCTACCATTACCCGCCATGTTGCAGATATTATAGACCCTTACATACTTGGATTAGAATTTGTAAGGAAATACAATTTTTCCTTGGGTTTTAAAAATAATAAATTGCATTCAGCATCTGAGGATATAACCCTATTCGGAATCAAAGGTAAAGGAGTAAAATCCGTCACTCAAACAATAGCTCAAGACGATATGACAGAACCAGCAAGAGTAGAAATTTTTACTACCTGGATACATAGCTGAAAACAAATTTCCGTACGTCGTAATGGAACATTATAAGAACTGTAACAGCCCGAGAGAAGTAGGAGCTTCGGTGCTCGTTGACCTATCGCGGACTGTCATCCCGATGAAAGTTGTCAACCCAAGCGCTAAGGAGAAGACAGAAAAGGCTGCAGAATGTTCTCCAATGATTTGCGTTAAACGAAATAAGAGTCCTCCAATCGCTGTGTCTTCGCAGAGTCTGATGTCGGAGTTACTGCAGAATGTTAAACTAAACAATAAAGAGAGGAGTGGTGCAGAATGTGACATTCAAGAATTTCAAGACTTTTTTCCCACACATCTTCTGACATAAGTCCAACCAGTTTAACACAGCATAAAATTGATATGGGGGATCATCAGCCAATCAGGCAACATCAAAAACGTCTACCAATTGCTAAACAGGAAGACGTAGGGAAACATCTAAAGGAACATACACAAAAGTTGTGATGTTGCGTGGCCCCAACTTGTCCGCAACAGTAGTGACTGCTATAAACTGGAAATTACACGAACTCGTAAGAAGGGTTTAATCCCTTTTTTAATTCACTTTAGAAATAACAGTTGCGTTCACTTGACGCTCACAAACTACGCCGACCCGGCGGTGTAACAAAAATAGAAAAGCACAACTAAAAATAAATAACAGGATGAATAAATAACGAAGTCACTACCTACGAGGCTCTATAAACGTGACTAGCTTAACCGCGTTCTAAGATACAGCTGAGATTCAGCAAACTTTCTTATTAAGAAGTTGAAAGATTCAACTAACTGTCGAAATAGGCACACAGGCCGAAACGCGCGGTTCTTAAACTTTCTACCAAGCAACCTTCACGCTCGTGATTCAAGAAGCACACTTACAAATCTCGTTTCCCTTCTATTTAACTCAAATTACTTCTGCTAAAAATTTGAATATTCTGCGCGTTCTACTAAAATTTACATACTCTGGCATTGGCAATTCCAGGGGAAAGTAAAGGCTTGACAGGAAAGATAGCTTAAAATATAAATGTTAGTTAAAATAAATATAAACCCTACAAAGTGGCGTTAGCCTTCAGCAAGTCTTTGGACCTTTCCCATCGTCCCAGTCAGAAAGAAAATGGCTCAGCTATATTTTGCGTTGACTGTCTCGATTACACGACGTCACGAAGAAAGACAACGATCTTCTTAGAATTGACGAAATTCTGGTCGCTGTTTCTAGAAATGTTTTCCGACGCTTGATTTAAAGACTAGATATTGGTAGGTAACAATACTCTTGATGACCGAGAAAAGACAGCATTTACCACTGGACAAGGACTACTACTCGACAGTTCCAGATGATACCGTTTGGATTATGCAGTGCGCCAGCAACATTCAAAAGCCTCATCTGTACGAGTACTGTACGTACGGAACAGCTGTACAAGTACTTTTGTGTAAAATACTTCAGAAATCTCAAGTGTTCGTTTTTTTTTTTTTTTTTTTTTTTTTTTTTAAATCATTGGTTCTGTGTGCATTCGATCCAATAAAAATTCTTACACATAGCAATATCTAAATAGCCAGACTACATGATAATAAATAGCTTTATTATCATGACTTGTGGATTACATAAACTTAACAAAAATACTCCTAGTAGCTCAGAGGTGTACTTAGACAAATTTCTAAAACAGCATGTCAAACTTATTTGACATCAGCGTCACTCTTCTACCCATGATTGTTAGTTTGCAACTACTATAATTTCGTAAATTACAACTTGAGTCTTAAAATCATTGTTGAAGTCTGAATTGGAGCAAGAGAGAGGAGAGCGATAACTCATTTCATTGCAAGTCAAATCTCACAAATATGAGCTACAGTTAATGCGCTACCTTTTATAGCTCTCCTTAAATTAGTAGTCGAGTTAGATAATTTAGAAGTTTTTTAAAATACGTAAGTATAAAATTAGAGAATAAAAGGATAGATTAAAAATTAAAAATAATTGGGTAGGAACTTAGTTACTTTTATAGCTTCTAATTAATAAAATTATCTAAAATATCTTTCAGATATATTTATGTGTATTTCCGTTATGCTTCGAAGGACTATTAGACCTGCTGAAAACCTTTAAACTCCCTTAATTTTGTTTTTAATAAAAAATAATAATATTGTTTCATAAAAATATTTCAATACGATAAAGGAAAAACATTTTATAGATGAAAATTCATAGGACTAAAATTAATTGTTATAATTCCATAAAAATATTAAAAACATCGATAAGGATATTTTTCAATAGTTTCCAATAGTTTTAAAGAAGCAGAAATTTATATGCATTTATCAAAAACCACCAGATTTTATGCTGAGCAGGAAATCATTTTACGTTATAAAAAAGATTTCATTAAGCTAAGAAAATAAAAAAAAATATGGAAGCGAAACTCACGGTAACAATAATTTGAGTTCCATAAAAATATGAATATAATTGGAAAGAATATTCGCCGACCGTCTCGGTTTAGACCAGAAATTCATGTGAAACCATCACAGATCTCTCCCTATTTAATACATGTGAAATCTGATTCCTTATGTCGCACATTATTAGTTTCATTTATGCCTTATTTTAAAGGAATATTTTCTTTTTACAATTCATAGGAAAGTGCAGCGGAAAGTCCGGACGAGCGTATAAGTTTCAATTCTGCTGTGTCCAAAAGCACGGCAATTATTCGCAACTGGATGAGCTCCAACGACAACAAAGACGACTCGGCTCTCGATGATTGCGTCGCCCCCATGTATCGCACAGCGAAGAATATGAGCAAAGCTATCAAGGTAAATTTCCTTAGATAAATCCTTACAAACGAAAGAAGGTTGAAGACCTTTTTCTTCTATATTATTAGTTCCGTATTTCAATGTGAACGCCAAAGAAATATTTATTTCAGGAACAAAAAAGGAAGCTTTTCCACTCTCTGGTTTACGAAAACGAACTGCATCTGAAGAAGTTGTACATCCAAAACTGCAAGCGTTTACCTGCTTATGGATGCCGGGTATATCAAGTCAAAGAGAGAACTAAGAAAAAGGTCTGTATTAAAATGAAACGTATGTGTGACAAGCTTTGGGCATCGATCATATTTTCTAATTTTAGTTAAGAAGGTGTTTGAATTTCAATAGTTTTTACGTAAAATATTTTATAAATGATAAATTTAAACAATAAAGTATGATTTTGTGCGAAGATAGGTAGATATGCTGCCTCAAGATTTGAGAAATTTGTATTCTTAGAAATACGTAGATAGATAACATCTTGCTTTTCAGTTCTGTTATAAAAGTTATTTGTTATTATCTCTCTAAATATTTTATTATTCTACCTACTACCAAGATACTAAGCCGTTACGTCATTAAAATCTTACTATGTATCTTTCAAAAGAGTTTGCATAGTTATGGATTCCAGTTTCACGTTCTGAATTTTTGCTAGCAAAATTACCAATTCTATTTAAGAAAAAAATATATCTTTAGAGAAAAAGAGAATGTACATTTAAAAAAAAAATTCTGTTTATCTATTTAGATGAAGTTAAATTGTTTGCTATTGTTAATCACTTATGAGATCTTTCTGTCTTTAATTGCAGTTCGAAAGAATTAGTTTGATGAAATAGATTTTGATTATTATGCTATAAACATATTTATTTAACTATAGCGTTTCTACGAAATACTTTATAGAAATAATATTAAATATGTTTGTGATAATAGATCATCATTCTTATTCATTATAAGTATTTTATTAATTAATAACTTTGTTTAGCTTCACTTATATATTTACATATATATCTTTGATATGTTAGGTTAAAAGCTACAATCACGTATACAGGCTAGTTAATTATTAAAAGTCTTGATTGAAATAAAACTTTTCTTTGCAAATCATGCATTGTATAGTGTAATGAAAACAGAGAATATTTTCTAACCTAGGAAAAGTTGTCAATATATTTACTTATACAGCAGAAATGTAATTTTCATTTCTGCATTTTAATAATAAATAATAGACAGAAAATTACATAGACTTCTTTAATTCTATATGTGCAGTACGGTTGAAAGTTAAAAGATGCTGAAATCCAGTAATTATGTAAGATTTTCTGCAACCGTCTTCTTTTTTTTAAACTTTTTTTACTAGTTGTTTTCTAAAGTTCAGTTGAAAACAAGATTCCTGCAAACTACGTATCTGTACGATAAAGAGAAAATGTGTAATTACACCTATGTGTTTTTAACTGATTGCGACGACGCACACAAGTGTATCAGCCGAAATGAAGATATGCTCTTGGGGGAATTTTTAAGGAAAATTGGCGTTACACATTAGAAAAATCACGAAAATGCCCATGCAGTCAGCTAGTTCACTGGGATTCGAACCCTCAGCGACTTTACTGCTGGCTGCCTTTAGTGGGCCTGATTACACCTATTATCCCTTAAAAATATTCTTGGTATTCGCAGAAATAGAAGTCTGTTTCGATCGACAATACATTTTGAACGTAATATAAAACTCTTCTTTCAAAAAAAAAATTTATTTGCAATAATATTTCTATTCATTTTATTGAATTTATTCATTTCATTTTATTCTTCGTAGCATAGCCTGAACAACTAAATTTAACTAAATTTTAATCAACCTTTAAGTATCTATACTACTAACTTCAAAACGCCAACAAATATTAATTCCTACCGCTTCCTAAATTTTCATATTTATAATTTAGGGTTCCCCCCGGCTGATCTGATGAAAATAAATTGCATTTATTCTTAGACATGCAAATTACTGTCTCAGCCTTTGGTTGGCAATTAACTTGAAAGCTTAATAAGCTCTCACGTGTGATCTCCAAGGCACTTTCAATTACGCAAATAAATTAGATTACTTATTCTTTTTTGTTATGCATTTGTAAAGATGGTGAGGCAATCTTGACTCTTTATTAAAGCTCCAATCGATTAATACTTTTGCAGATGAAAAAGATTAGTTAAGACAGAGAATGCTATAAATTATCCTTAATGAAATAACGGGTATCACCAACTTGCTTCTAAAAGTGTAAAATCTCTGTGATCGAAATTTCGCAACTTCAAAGCTGCAAGCAAATAAGATAAATTACTCAGAGATCAAAGGCTAAAATCGATTAGAACTGTAATTCTATCTAAACTAAACTACAAACTAATTCCCGGCTGCTTAGAGATATTTATATCACTACCGAAAGTTCATTTAGACAATATTACTACGACATGATAAAATTATAAGCATATCAAGGTATAATATGCGCCTACTAATTAAAACATAACCAAAAATGTATAAAAATTTAACACAAAATTAAAGAAAACCACGAAGTTAGTCATAAATAAATAAATATTGTTATGAATTTGCACATAGATGATTTTAGTGCAATTACATTTGAAATTATTGTATTTTTATATGTAACGTTATGCAAAAAAAAAGAATTTAAGACACAAGCCATGCCGGGAAAAAGAGAATACAGGGGAAAGTCCATTTAACATTGAATAAATGGGTAGACTTTATCTTTGGAATGTAAACTTAATATTATTAAAGACTTCAATACAAAAATAAAAACTTGTGAATTAGTAAAGAAGTTTAATGTACCAGATTCGACGGTAAGAAGGGTTATAAAAGGCAAAAAAGAAATTATCAGTGCTGTGAAAAGTGCTCAATCTTTAAATTCAACCATCGTTCGCAAACATCACGATATTATCGCTGAAACGGAAACTATGCTAAAAATTATTGTATGATGTAGCTGCATTTACGAACTATAGGAACAGTCCTATTGATGACAACGATAGTGACATTTAGTAATTTAATGACGAACATACGTGAACATAATTAAATTGAAGATAACACATAAAATAAAAATAAGGAAAAAAAAGTCAGTCTATGGCATCATGAAAACGGTATAACATCATATTAAGAATTTCGAGTCCTTCGCTTTCAAACATCATCGTTGTTTCTGTCTAGCGTCTCGTCTGCAAGAGGTGGTCACGTGATCTTGGTGAGCACGTTGCCATTCTTAGATATAAAAGAAAGCTTATAACCACATTACTTTGTGATAATCAAGTAAGTATGAAAAATTTTCCTGTTGTTTAGAACACGGTATGCTTCTCAAGCTAAGCTGATATTTGAGTCATTGAAAGAGGATGCTAGAGAGACGGCTAAAGATGAAAAGTTTAAATCTAGTAACGGTTGGTTCAGCTGATTTAAAAGTCGCTCTAGTTGGCATAGCATTGCACAAAATGGGGAGGCTGCAAGTGCTGATAAAAAACTGCTTCTTACTATCCACAGAAATTAAAAGCTATGATAGATGATGGCCATTATAACCAAACAAACTATATTCAAGGTAGATGAGTCTGGCCTGTTCTGGAAGACAGCGCCTAAAAGAAATTTTATCGCAAGTGAAGAGAAAACTTTTTCAGGTTTTAAAGCTGCCAAAGATCGATTGACAGTGATATTAAATAAAAAAAACCTCTCGTAGTTTATCACTCAGAAAATTCAAGAGCATTGAAAAATAAATCTATAGCTGGCTTTTCTGTCATTTGGAAGTCAAATCGCAAAGCTTGGATAATAGCTTCCCTTTTCAAAGATTGGTTTGGTCATTATTTCATACCTGAATCAGAACGTTATTGCCAATCTAAACAGATTTCAGCTAAAGTGATGCTCATAATCGACAAAGTACCAGGTCATCTCGCTGAAACTTTAACTAATTTTGACCCACGTGTAAAAGTTGCATTTTTGCCACTCAATACAGCCAATTTGCTTCAACCGATGAATTAAGGAGTCACAAACATATTCAAAGCTTATCATGCGAGACGATTATTTCCTCATCTACATAAAGCTATGAGACAAAACAACGAGCTCTCTGTTAAAGATTTTTGGAAATAATTCAATGTTTTATATGCGGTGAAAATCATCAGACAATCTTGAAATGAAGTTTAACAAAAAAACTGGAAAAATTGGGTCCTTTTTTTCCATCATTGAAGGTCTTGCAGAATCAGTGTCAGAGCCTGATGAAATTGGTAATGTGATCGAAGAAGTTGTCGATTTTGCCATGCAAATAAATTTAGAAGTGGATAGCGATGACTTTCAAGAACTGCTGGATTCCCAGAATCAGGAGTTGACAATTGATGAGCTCATAGAAATGCATGAGTAAGAGCAAGACATTGAAGAACTTGAGTCCTTAAGACCCAGTTCATCGAACCAGAAGATCGAATGATGGTTGGGAATTTGACAGAAGGCCTCAGTTTAACTGAAAAAGGGTTACAAATTTTAGATAATATAGACTCCAACAAAGAGCATATTTTCTTAACAAACAAGGAATGAGAATGTTATTAGCATGCTACGAATGCCATCAAATTTTAGATATATAGACAAAGAGCGTATTTTTTCAACAAAACAAGGAACAAAAAATTATTAGCATACTATGAGGAAATTTTGCAAGAGAAAAAATTCCTTAAGCAAGCAGACTACTTTGTTTGATTTTATGAAACCTTCTACATCAAAATAATTTTGATTTGCGATTTCGCATTTATGTTATCTATAATTTTATTAAACACTTTTTTTCCTAAATTATTATTTTCTTTCGTCTCCGGCCCCAATTAAAAGTAATTTATATGCGAAATTATACCCCGACGTAAGGAAACTCAACTTACGCGGTTATCACTCAATCTCTCCTATCGCGTAAGTTCGGAGTATTACTGTACAGACATTTCTCAGGGTAGTTTTCTCTTCAGAGAAAACGCTTTGCATTGCGTTGTGTTTAACGTTCATAGCAGTTTGAAATGTACCTACTGATTGCACTCTATAATGTTGTGAAGAGTTATACGATTACTTTTATGGAAAGTTCCAGGTCTCTGAAATGTTTCTTTTAATAAAGGGAATCGTATCAATCTATCATTGGACCTTTGTGCATTCAGTCTGTATCGAATCCGTACGCACGCAAAAATGTAAATGCAGAACAATGCAAATTTTATTGTTGCGTGCGTACGCTTTCGTAATAGACTGAATGCACAAGTCTGATAGTACATTATAAAATGCATTTTTATCGAAAGAAATAATTTCAGACCTCTGGAATTTTTTCCACAGAAATATTCGTAAGAGTATCACACAATACAAACAATAGTTACACTTCAAACCACTAAAAACGTTAACTACAACGCAAAATAAAGCGTATCTAAAGAGAAAGGTAATCCGATCTCACGCTGAACTCGCAACAATAGCAACAGCAGTTAACTAAACAACTGAGAGCAGATGCTTTCTCTTCGGACTTAAATAGTTTTCAGAAACCCGCGCGAGATATTTCTAGTACTTTCTGCTTCTCGAAATTACTGGAAAGCAATACGAAAGTGGAATTATAGTTACAGCAAACATAGTGGTCAATTACATTTATTCAATTTCAATACAAATTACCGAGATATCCATTTACTGAAAGTAAAAAGCATGTATTCTTACTTAAAGTATTCTTACTTTTCCGGCATAGCTTTCTCTTAAAATTATCTTGCGCTACATTGCACAGAAAAACACATCAGTTTTAATTATAATTCTAATAAAACTACCTATCTAAATGGAAAATTCGTAACATATTAAACCCAAAATACAGTAACGTACAAATAAATACAAATATTTACCTAAATTACGATATTATTTATGTTGCCCCAAAATATTCTTTTATTTATTTCATTATAGCAAAGCAATCGATGGATGCCTTCGTGAAGGGCTTTCTAAGGGAAATTTGTTCATGTACACGATACACATGGAGAAAACCACGAAAGCGGGCATGAAGTCAGCCCATTCGGCGGGATTTGAGCCTCAGACCGAACCACAAGTATTCAGCGACTTAACCGTTCAGCCGTTAGTGATCCAGCCGCAAAAAAAAAAAAAAAAAAAAAAAAAAAAAAAAATTATGAATATTATACATGTGATCATATTGGAAAAAAAAAATTACGTAGCAAAATAAGCGTGGTATATATACTGGATGTCAAAATCCGCATCAAGCGTTTGTACACTACTGTTCCAGCTACATAAATTTCTAGAAAAAAATAATGTAGTAATAAAAGAATTAGCATCTGCACTAAAATCTTCATTAAGTTATATTATACTATGAGTAACATATTGGTAAATTCTTACGGAAACATTGTTTTATATAAAATAGACAGATTTAAAAAAAAGGATGAAAATTAATAATGTACTTACCTTTGTCAACATATCTAAGATATAAAATGTAAAATTTAAAAAAAAATTAATAATGTCGAAGTAAAATTTAAAAATTTTTCCAGTAATATAATTCCACTGTAATATTAAAGCGCTTACAAAACGAACATTATTTCTCTATTAAATATAAAATTTATTTACCTCTACACATGTATGTTCAAATCTAAGAACGAAGAACAAACAAAAGAGATAAGAGAGAAGATTAAATCTGCGAAGAAAAGTTTCTAAACACTTCTCATGAAGATTAATTCAGCAGTGGCTGAGGGGTTAAAGACTGCTACATACTGGTAATTTGTCCCACGTTCGGACATAGGGAAACGGGCAGTCTGCATAGTTTCCTTTTGTGGCTTTTTCCATGTGTCATTGAATACGCTACTTCCCTTTAAAACATCCTCCAGAAAGGAATCCTATCCCTTAGGCATATCATGTGATTTGCCATACCCAGATAACCAACTAATCATTTCACAAAAATTGCCGATGAATGAAAAAATTGGTTTTGCATTTAATATAATTTCTTTCAAAAAACGATTTAAATACTTCTTCTGATTCTCATTAATAACCAGATATAATATAATGAAAACTGATTGTATAGGTAGTTAGTTACATTACCTCTTGTCTATGATTATCGGAATTGTTAAAGATATGAAATAAAACGATCATATCCCGAGCTCCCAAATACTGTATCGAACGGTATCTGGGAAGCTATCTGATTTCCTACGCTATCATTGTCTTCGATTGATCATTGTCTTCGATTGATGACAATATTGAAATTAGGGAAAAGCAAAAATGTATATAGTGATGTCTATATATACACCGAAGACCCATTACATTATGACCACCCTCCTTCTATAACAATGGGCTCTCCCAGGAGTAAAACCACTGCGCGTACGCGGAGGATGTTGGAGTATATAAAACGGCTATGGATTGCGCTGATTTATCAGACTTCAACAAATGTCAAATCATTATGGCTCGGCGACTGGGAACATTAATTTCGAAAACGGTGCGTTTAGTGGGCTGTTTACGTGCAGATGTTGTGAGTGCATATCGAAAAAGACTATGGACGGTGAAACGACAAGTCGCCGGGCAGCAGTGTGTCGTCAACGGCGAATTTATTCCAGAGGAGAGCGGGGATTACTACGCCCCCTTGACCGAAGAGCTACAACAGCTGAAATTACCACCAGCTACAACAGTGGCGACCCAGGCAGTGTTTCTCAACGCACTGTGCATCTTACATTACAGCGTATGGGCTTACGCAGTCGGAAACCGAAGCACGTCCCTGCACTGACTGCAGGTCATCACCAGCTGCGTCTGCAGTGGGCCAAGAAACATCGGAATTGGACATCAGAAGAAGGAAAGAAAGTTGCATGGTCCGACGACTCACATTTTCTGGTCCATCACATTGACAGGCGTGTGTTAATACGCCGATTTCCAAACTAAACGCTAGCTCTCTGATGCACAGTTGGAAGGAGACAAGCCGGTGGTGGGGGTATTATGGTGTGGGCAATGTTTTCATGGAGTACATTAGGACCCATAATCCCCAAAGAACAATCCCTGACGTATGTGCGCTACGTGAACATCGTTGCACATCAGGTTCATCCATTCATGACAACAGGGGGCGGAGGGATAGTGTTTACCAAACAGGATAATGCACCATGTCATAAAGGTCGAATTGTCAGGGAGTGGTTTGAGGAACATTCCAGTGTTTTTCAAGTTATTTCTTAGCCTCCAAATTCATCTGACATTAATCCAATAGAGCATTTGTGGCCCCATCTGGAGAACCAAATTCGTGCAGCCACACTACCCCTCGCAATGTGCGGGAATTGCAGGACCAGCTGGAGAGCGCTTGGTACCAGATACCTCAGACTACGTATCAGCACATTGTGGAGTTGATGCCATAACGAGTGCTGGCATTTTTGAAGGCTAAATATGGTCCTCCATGTTATTAACAGGGTGGTCATAATGTAATGGCTCTTCGTGTATATACAGTACAAAATCCGAAATTCGTACGTCCAATATTCGGACTTCCGGACTACAGGTAATTTTTTAAATTTTGTTTTTGTTTTTGAGATTGTATCTATTTATATACAAAATTTAGGAGTAGAGAATGTAATATTCCACTCAAGGAATCAACACCGTTGCCGATATTGATTGAAGTCGGAAGAGATTAAGTTCAGTTAGCGTAGCAAATTGCTCTCTTCCTTAACTAATTTGATACAGCGTATTACATTTTGCAGACAGTTATTATAATTGCTGTCTTATCTAAATCAAAGTTTCAGTTTTTGCTTATGTCGAAAAGACTTTCTAATTCAGGAGCTGAAACAGGATCGGAAAGCGAAAACCTTTTTGGTATTTCCCTTCTGTAACTGCCTTAGCGCAATTCTGGTTTAAGAAAATACGATTTCAAATTTAGGCAAAACAGCAACCTTATGTTTGGCGTAGATTTTGAACACAGGAGGCAAAATTTTCCAATTAATGTAATTTATGAAGCTAAGGGAAGAATTCCTAATAAATGGAAATGATATAACAGAAGTTTTCCATTGCAATGACAATGTCCCAATCGACTAACGGACGAGTGAGAATTTTTGACACGACAGTTATAGGACTTGAAATTGGAATTTTATAACTTGTAGAGTCATTATTTTTTTTAAAGCAGGAGATACTAAAAATATCTAGTACCCTAGCCGGGACTCGAACCCTGGACCTCGCGAAAATGCATCTTCTATGCATCCAATGACATCACGAAGATATGCGGAAAAAAGGGAGAAAATACCTTATAAAATGAACAAGAACTTATGTCCATCTAATAAAATTAAATTATCAGCATAAAAAACGTAACAACTTAAACAACTTACATTGAAGGAAATGTTTAACAAAGCACACAAATAAATTTTGAATCATTTTTTTTGGTATATTTTGATTCCCATAACGTCATAAATGCTATATTAAATCATAGCCAACTTATTTCTTCATGCCATCTTACTGAATTTCAACTGATGATCTAAAGTCTAGAATCGCCGAAGTTTCGATGATTTCGGATCTCGGACTTAAAAATAACTGTAAATAAATAAGTGTAATATACTGTTCTGTAAATAAATAACTAAATATATGTAACATTCTCTACTGTAAATATTGTATATATGTATATATATACAAACCTAGAGAGAGTTGTATATTTTTTATTAATACAATTGGGATTATTTATGTCTTGTTCTGTTCGTAATTAAATTTAGGAATATATAAGCAGTTACTTTCCTTCTTTACACATCACCAGCTGCAATCAGAATTTATTTGACAAAACTGGAAGTAACAAAACTTTACTGAACCTCATTTAAATACAGCTCAATGTCTGTTTTAACGGCAATGGAGAAGCTGAAATTTCTGTAATCATGATTCTTATTTATATTTGCGTTCGGTATAAACCCTTAATTTTCAAAATCTCTGAATTTTATAGGTGAACAGACTACTAGGTATTGGCTTGGAGAAATTAGTTTTGCTGGACAGTAAAAGTCTTCTGCTAAACAAGAGTCAATTAACTTCTGATTTAGAACAATGGCGAACTGGGGGTGGTCGATCTCATGATCAGATCGTGTTGGAATTCCGTGCTACTAAATGGTCTTTCATAGCTACTTCACCTGGAGCTCTACGATCCATTAGCACAGAGCTCTGGGAAGTAATGCAGGACTTGGATGCGCACTTCCTGGAAGATCATGTCATTGCGACGAAGGAAGACATCGATAACGGTGAGTTATATCCAAAGATGAGTAGTCTTTCTTTATATCTAATTTAATTTTAATACAATACGTTGCGACGAGAAGGAATTTAGATTTTCAATTTTAAGTGCTAGAGCCATGAATTATTACAGAAGTTAGCGATTTAAGTCCATATTTTATATATTTCTGTGTTCTTGAATTAAACTTTCACGAAAGTACAAAAATAATACTCTCTGCACTTACAAGCAATTTCCCTAGTAAAAAAAAAAAAAGTGGGGGGAGAAATTAAATTACAATTACTTTCTTTTTTAGTGTAAGAGAATCTTTGTTTCACGAATAAAACGAATTTCTTGGAACCAGTTCACTCTTATCTTTAGAACAGCCGTGATGAAACGTGAGTTACATCATTAAAGTCGATGAAAGCTACGTGATGGGACGCGTAATGCTCTATTCCAGTACCTAGCATGATATGTGACTGGGGAGTAGGAAAATTACAGTTCCAGTAGATTCTGCAGCCTTGATCTGAGCATAATATCAACGGCCTAAATATGCGCTGTTATGTGCACAAAGATCGCAATTTCTCCCTCCTTCCGCTCGCTCTTGATTCTGAAGGGCATTTGAGAATTTTCTCTAATACATATTAGCACAAACTGATATTCAGAGAAACTAAGCAATTATATTTTGATGCTAAAATATAGTCATCTACAAAATTTTCCTAACAGCCGTACATTTGCTGGTTTAACATTGGTCGGACATTATGGCTTAACTTATCGGTTATTAACTAACTCATTAACGGCAGCTTTGCCCAGAGTGCACCACAGGATTGATACTATTATAATATGCCATAAATATTTTATTTCTATAGATGTTCATAAATTGTTATCCACAACTGCTTCTGGACTGAAGCGTCTTATTGAAAGACCCAACTGAACAAAATCCGCATAAAGCTATAAGTGAGGACAGCAATACCTCACAGAGTCCAGACAGTCGATTCCAAAAAATATCCTTAGCTCATTAGCGTTCGATTTGAAGCGCTTAGGTTACGTTGAGGGAATCGTACTCTTTGAAACTAAGCTGCTTTTCAATTAGAGCCATGCCTAGATATTTTTTCATATGAGCAACGAGGTAATGCAATCGAATCAGCTATTGCGCAGTTTGTGTTAAGCAAAAGTAACGATATTAAATCAAAATATCGTGATTCTTATAACATAAATATGCTGTAATTTTTATAATATTTGCTTAGCTTTATAAATTTAGAAGTATAATGCATGTCATAATTTATAAATTTTAAACAAAATTGTTAAAAAATGCGTTTTTGGCAAATAGTAAATAACACTGAAATAATATAAATGTATTCCACAGACTTTTCAAGCTTTTTCATCATTTAATTTTTATTACTTTTAAAAAAGCACAACTGATAATGATGTTTTTACTTAATTCATGCTCTATAGGAAATAGAACAGCCGTTTTTGAAGTTTTTCTTAACCTAAACAAAATTTTTGCATATTTGTTGTATTAGGTTACGTTCCATAAAACTTATTTTACCTTCAAGTTATAACTGACAAATTAAAAAAATTTTATTAGTACAGTTTTCAAATTCATCTAGGCCTGAACTACTCTGAATTTCTGAATCATCTGTAAGGTATATCCTAATTTTATAATAGTTATTTTTAAGTTAAAGCTCCTTTCCTGTCTCTTCTAGCTTCAACTTACAACTTTTAAAAATCGCTTTAAATGCCGATGAAAAGTAGAAAGTATTTAAGTCAAAGTTCACTGAATTCAACGGGGAGAATTAGATTTCCTGAATAGCGCACGTTTGACATTTGGCTACGTCTCTCCAAACTGTTACTACGTTCGGCCGTATTACGTGCCCTTAATAGCTGCGCTAGCTAATTTAATATTAGGGGCCAACTAGTTTAGAAATTGTGTTAGCTTCGGCTAAATCTCTTTAGTTAGTCATTAGTTAAGTTCTTATTTCTTACATTTTTAAGTTTAAGTCCAAGTGGATGCTTTGTTGTACGTCCTGAGAAAGGGACCATCTGTACAACTTTATTTTGAGCAATAAAAGGTAATTAACCCTTCTTGAGTTCATGTTTATATTTTTGGACTTAAGCGATTATTTTGTTAGTAGTTCACTAGGTCCCTCAATACTTAGTTAATAGAAATAAGTGAGGATTACCTACACATCCTTTAATGGTCTGATTTACTTCAGCCACCAGCGTTATTGCAACAATATAGCTTTTAAAAACCAGATATTTCTGATGAATCTTTTCTAATATTTCTTTAATTTGCACAGTTAAATGCTAAATTATAAGTAGTTTCTTTTTTAAATATCCAAATCCAGTGCCATTAAATTTTAGCCAGTTAGAATTTTAAGACTTGAACTCTTCTCATTGAATTTTTTATGGCTGCATTTAAACTGTAATATTAAAATAAATATCATTTCTTATATTTCTGCTACGAAATTTTTTGAAATTTTTTTTTCATGAACTAGTTATTAATAGTCTAAGCTTTTCTTTAAGAACTAGTTATTAATAGTCTAAGCTTTCTTTTTACCTTTCTTTTTCAATTCTCTTCAGATTCTGGTTATAAATTCTTCTTAAGGTTAAACTTTCACAAATTTGAAGAAAGTTTTCTGTCTTTTGCCCTTATATTTCTATTGCATTTATTTGTTTAATTTAATATCGCAAAGCCTACGAGGGGTTGTTTACCTAATGTAAGAATATTTTCGTGGAGGATGTTTTAAAGGAAAAGCCGTTTGCATTCACGCCAAATGAGAAAATTCATGAATTCTTTGGTAACATAAACTAATGAGATATAAGAAGACTAGAGAAATTATCCTGTGGTCTTATGATGCAGAAAAAGTTAGAAGAAGGAGGTAAATAACCCTTGATTCGATCACAAAGAGTTCACAGACGACCCCACTTGGGTTTACATAAGCCAACATGTTCGGCTTAACAAGTAATGTTGAACTTCAAATAAAATGTAATTAAATTAGTCTAACGGCTCACAGGATAATTTAAATGCGCAGGAAGGCTCTGGCTCATAGAAGTCGGCGGAACAAATCTAATGGCTAGAAGCACTTAACACCACAGAATCAAATCGCTATTAAGTCAAGGTAACAACGTGGCCTTTAAGTAGGCATAATACGCTCTAAAATCAACTTCGGAAACCTTCATTTGAATATATTCGCCCTGACTGATTTGCGTTTCTGACAAGAATGCGTGGGTGAAAAGAAGAGCGACAGGAAAGTTTTATTTTATTTTATAAAAAGGTGAGCAGTTGCCTATTCAGCATTGGCCACAACTCAGGCCAGAAATGGTGACCATTTTATTTTGGAAGCACCTAATAAGAAAGCCACCGTTTCCTCCTATGAAAGAGACGGACAGTTACAACCATGCCTTCTCCGGGATTAGAAGCCGGGCCCTTCGAACAGTAGGCTCCACTAACCACTATACCGCCAGAGCGGCGCGACAGGAAAGTTGCTTTAACTAAAAATTAATTGTCAAAATGAATAACTAATTCCTCACAAATTTATGAAAAATGTCCCTTTCACCCGAAGTGAAACTGGGTTCGAACTGTTAGTGTTCAACGGCCTTATCCATTCGGCCACTCAGGGAATAAAGTGTTTTATTGCACTTATATTCTGAGAACTTCATTTATAAGTGAGTATTACTGACACTTTTTGATAACGTATTTTTACATTTCTCTTTTGATAAAAACGTTACTAAAGAAAAGCTTATTTTAATTTTTACCACAGTCACATTTTCAGAGTAGTGTTTTATATTAGCAACACTTACGCTATTAAAGGTATTTTCTGGGAGCGGGAGGCTTTCCAGTATTGATAAAAATCCGTGTTTTGTGATCTGTAATAATGTCAATTATTTAAATTACCCGGAAAGGTTTATATTACTTTTTCATAAAAAAATTCAAAATATTAATTCTTTTTTTATTTCTTTCATCTTAAAAGAAAACTCGAGAAAATATAAGTCACGTTTTACCTTATCTCTTTGCAATCTAGTCTTGACAGAAAATTAAATTTAGGTATGCATTCGCTTAATAGTCTTGCAGTAAGTGGGTTATTCTATCAAAAACAGCAAGTGAAATCAGTTGTACAATTCTGAGGAAATTTAAATATAAATATAACAAAGTAAAATTTCGAACTGTTCATCTCATTTAATGGCGAACTTAGTAGTTCAAAATGGAACAGTTGGCCTTTTTTGAAATAGGAGCATTACGGTGATAATAATATTGCATTTACTTACAATGTTGTTTTCTCTGTTGGTGCCATTCCAAAGCATGTTTGTGCGTAATGTCTGTTGAAATGACCGGCTTGCTTTCCAAGTGGACTTCAGAAAGTTTGACAGAATGCGGCGAAACTGAACCAATCTAAATTCAAATGGGATTTCTTGTAGTGGTGTAAGGATCTTAAGTTTTACTAACGTTTATTTTATTTTAAATCTTTACTATCACTTCTTATTTTCTACTTCCGGCCAGAATTATAAGCGTGAAGGTATTTATGCAAAGTTTGTCTGGCGAACGCCAAGTATTTAAGTTGTGGCTTTTTTGCCAAGCGAGAGAGAGGAAGCAGTGAGTCGAAACAGGCCGCTTACCTTAGAAGTTACGCAGTTGCTTGTTGCCTTCCAGGCCAGAGGTTTTAATCCTCTTGATAAATTTTAAACGTATTGTAGTGTTCACAGTTCTCTGTACTACATACGCTTCCTGTTAATATAAGGCCAATCTTCCACGTTTATTATTCTAAAGTTAAATTAGAGTTTAGTTTTATTTTCATATTTTTACGTTTTGACCCCAAGTAGCGGGTCGGTGTATTCCGAAGTACGGAAGTCATTGTAAATAGAGAAAAATAAAGGGTTTTGTATACCCTTCTTGTGTATCCTGTTTACTTCCCACAGTTTTGAACATAGCTTTAGTAAGCTCTCTGTTCCGAGTCAGGTCCTTGCATGTTCCCGAAGAAGGTTAGAAGGAACATTGAACCTGATAGTGAACTTGGATACAGGCGCTCAGTGTTC